ACGTTGCAAATGCTTTCGAGGGACTTTATCTCATTTTTTATGCCAAAATTCGGTACTTAGCCCAAGAAAACAGATATCTTGTCCTTTGCGCGGAAATATTTAACACACAAAAAAGGCTGGGGCCCTACAAAAATTTTTCAGGGGCCCCGAGCAACTCGGGGCCCGGGGCAATTTGCCCCCTTTGCCCCCCCCCCCCTCTGGGCGGCCCTGCCTGCAGGGATTTATACTAGCTTTTCTCACACATAATAACAACATTAAAATAAGCTGTATTATATTCACACTAGATTACTTTATCAGCTCTAAACTGTTCTTTCTGGAGATCGCTCTTGGATCCAAAGCGAGGAGGGAATATAAAATATCTAAATTAAACCTACATTATTTCGCCCATAGTCTTTTTTGATCTTGCATTACTTACGACTTACGTTTTGACTGCAAATTAGAGATTCCATAATGTCTTCAATTTCGATTTTTTGTTCACGAGGGGAAACCAGAGATGGTGCGGGCGAATGAACGACCGGCGGTGTAACTGCACGTTCTTCAACTAACAAGCCTGTGTTGAATAAATAAAAAATAATTTGGTTAGATTGGCTAGAAGGCCCTTCACTCTATTTAAAAACACCATAACGCAAAAATATAATCATAACACAAAAATAATACTGAGGACTAGCTAGCTTACCAAATTCTATATTTTCCGAATTCATATCCACCTCACTAAAGAACATTTGAGTTTTTTGGTTTTGATCAATGATGTCGTCGTTTACATTTTGCGCTACCAAAGAACCATCTAGTTCTTCTTCTGCCGTTTTATTTTCCGGCTCTTCAACAACAACTGTTTCTGTTAAATAACAACAAAGTCTCGGGATTTATTGTATTGTTCATCTAGATTATATTTACAAAATGTTTTATTTTGTCTAACGTTTCGTTCCCCCTACGGAAACCATTTTCAAAGACTGGGGTTTTTCAAAAAAGTGTCGGGATGTTAGTGGTAGATTGGATAGAGTTGTCCGATGGTAATTACACCTCAGTGCCACGTGATTATGAGAGGGGACGCCCTGTTATTTATGTTATTAGAACAGTTTAAAACTGATAGATCTACACAGTGTAACTAAAATTATAAGTTTCCATACATTTTTCTTGGAGATAACTTTTAAAAGGGCCGCGAACCAGCTACTTCAAGGGCGTCACTGATTGGTCCAAAATGGCATCATTCTAGCTTTGTGATTGGCTAAGAGTCTACCTCCATCGTTCTTTCCACCAATCAGGGTTGTTCATAATTTTTTTCTTACCTGGAAATGGATTTAAACCCAACACTTCGACTCTCATAGCAATTCCATTGTGCCATTCCTTCGGTCGAAAGCGAATGTAGCGAGTTTCTACGGCACTTTCTAAACTGTTTAAAACTACTGTCTCCAGATCGGAATTTCCTGTGAAGATCTGCAAAGCAAACGTATAAGCCATTTTGAAGTACGGAAACATCGTTTCCCAGCCATGTTTCCCGAAAGCGCGCAAACCAGAAAAACAATGTTTCATAGTTATGTTTCCCAATAGTAGACAAACCAGGAAACATTGTTTCCTAGTCATGTTTCTTGAAGGCGCACAAACCAGGAAACATTGATTCCTAGCCATGTTTCCCAAAGATAGACAAACCAGGAAACATTGTTTTCTAGCCATGTTTTCCAAAGGTTGACAAATCAGGAAACATTGCAATTGTTTCATAGACATGTTTTCCGAAGGGGGACAAACCAGGAAACATTAACCAGGAAACATTGTTTCATAGACATGTTTCCCGAAAGTGGACAAACCAGGAAACATTATTTGCGCCATAAATCACGAAGCTTGTGATTTGTTCCTCTTTTACCTTTAACTCCCCAGATTCGAGATACTCTGTCCAATTGTTGCCATCTATAGACATGTTTCCCGAAAGTGGACAAACCAGGAAACATTATTTGCGCCATAAATCACGAAGCTTGTGATTTGTTCCTCTTTTACCTTTAACTCCCCAGATTCGAGATACTCTGTCCAATTGTTGCCATCTTGGCTGAATTCCAAACTAAATCTCGTTACCCAACGTTTGTGTCGTTCGTTTCTCACGGCAGAATCTGGGTTGCCCTGTGTCGCGACTTGCTGTATTGTAGTCACGTGACCCAGATCAATTTGTAGGTAAGGGCTGACGTCATGTTTCCTAGGCAACCAAGCACCGCCTTTCTTGTCTGGAAAGGATACGAGAAATGTTGGTGTGATTTGTGCTGGAGACAAATGAAAGACGGAGTAGTAATGGACCATTTGCATTATAGACTAAATTTTTATCTAAATAAGTCTAGACAAAAATTTCCTACACGACGCTCTTCCGATCTATCACAAAATTAGTAATATTCCAAAGTTTCGTTGCGAAATGTTGTAAAATGCGGATAATATAGCCTTGCGAAGTTTGCCGTTTTTCAGTCATTTTGCATTACGCGGGGGAAATTGACAGCCCAATACCCTTTGGGGCTGTCAATTTCCCGTTTGTAATAGAAAATGACTGAAAAACGGCAAACTTCGCAAGGCTATATTATCCGCATTTTACAACATTTCGCAACGAAACTTTGGAATATTACTAATTTTGCGATGCTCTTTCAAGCTGTGATGAAATTTTGGCTAGACTTATTTAGATCAAAATTTAGTCTATAATGCAAATGGTCCATTGATACATTCGTAACGTAAGTCCTGATGTCAGAGATGAAACGCACAGTGCACTAACTACTGAATGAGAAGCAAATGTCTACCGTATTTTTCGTTGTGCAATCTTGCTTGGTCAGCGGTGTGATAAACATCGAGCACAGACGAAGCTGTCAGTTGCGGATCCAGGACCCTGCCGGATGATACGCCCAAGGGAACTGGCACGAATCGACTCATCAAATCAGCTTTAATAATTGGGGGGAAAGATGGCAAGATTAGGATGGTTTAGACATGGTAAATAACAACAGCATGCGCACAGACTGGTTTAACATAATCCATGACTAAGAAACTAGTTTAGTGTATAATATATAAATTCGTTAAATAATCTATTGGATAATTCTTTAGGCCCTTTAGTATATAATGAAAACTTTTGAGCCTTGCCAGTTTGGTGAAATTGCGTAAGTCTCGTGGTGAATGAGTGAAAATTTGATAACTATGCTTCCTAAACTAGTTTTTACATTTCGAATTTAACACTACGTTCGCGTTCCAAATTCGTTCAGAGTGCGTCGAGGACGCGCGCGTTCAAACTTTATTTCAACGCGTTGGGAACGCAATCAAAATCTCAAATTCTAGATGTACTTTTTTTCTGTACTGTACATGAGGTTAACGGGCTGTGTATATTATCTGGACTACAGTACCTGTATTGTCTGCATGTTTGATTTCTTCGGTCATGCGCACTTCAGCAACGACTGTATCAAGGCTTGATCCTGAACAAGTGTATGACGTCACCAATAAGGAATCTTGCGTAATACTACTTTCTGATGTACTCCCGTCGCAATCTTTTATACCAGCATTTTCATCCCGAGGAAAATCTACCCTGTTTCCTGGGGGAAATTCTCCGTGTATCTTATCCGTATGATCTAATCTCGTATAAGGTTCATACTCCCTAGTTTCTGTTGTTGCAAAACTCTCAGGTTCTTTTTCCGAAGGGTCAAAACTCGTGGTTACATTTTCCGTAGGGTCGAATCCCGTATAAGGGACACAAACGCCGGGAGTAGGTTCCTTATTTTGAAATCCTCGCATTCGATTTGATAGAAATTGTGTTTTTAAATTTTCATCAGAAATGTATTGAACTGGCCTGCATATCACATGATAGCTTTCCTCAAAATATAGATCACGTGATTGATTACTTGTGTTCACGTGCTCGTCGCACGTATAGACAAATTCATAATTCGTGACAATGATTTGTGGGAGAATGTTCCGAGGGTTCTTTTTCCGGCCGGCCTTTTCCCGCCTTTCGCACGCTAGTTTCCAAGCCTCTTCCCACTCGCGCTGTCTTTCATGTCTTTCCTGGAGTCTTTCGAGACGTTGCGCTTCATTGTTCAATGGCGCCAAAAATCCTAGAAATTACAAACATTTCGGAGGTAGTTCAGACACAAACTACGGCTCATTGTACTATCTACGCTGTCTACTATTGCATTAGCTCTTGCCTGTTGTTTTTCTGAAATTCTGTAACCTGAGATGGGATGGTGTAGCATGCAGTATGCCAGTCCTGTTGTTCATTTGTTCCAACCAGAATTCTTGCATGTTACGATATCTCTCTAGCGTCTTCTCCAGTAACTACATAATAAATGGCATCACTTTAGTATGTGTGGTATGGCCAGGGGCGTAAGAACCGGGGGACCAAGGTCCTCCCCCAAGTTTTCAGAAGACACAAAAGTGCCCTTTCTCCGGTAGCAAAGTGCCCTTTGCCTTCGTGAAACAAGTTGTTCAGATTGAATTTTTTTATTATTGCAATTATTTTTCCTTCGAAAAACACAAAAAATGCCCACTCTCCGGTGGCAAAGTGCCCTTTGCGTTCGTGAAAAATTTTCAGATTGCATATTGTATGGTTACAGTCCCCCACCCCCAGTCGCCAACATTTCCGGAAAAATTTTTCAGGTGCCCTTTTCATCCAAAACTGCACCACGAAACCGCCCCCCCCAATCTTTTGATGCTTCCTACGCCCCTGGGTATGGCGTCACCTTAGTATATATACAGTGAACTTGTGGTTAGAGGCTTAGAGGTCGACATTACTGGACCATGTAGCTCAGTTGGTTAGAGCGCTGCATCGGAATCACAGGGCCGCAGATTCAATCCCTGCCAGAGGGCTCTATAGTCGTATCATCAGTCTTACACCTGTATTCTAAAAGCTCACTCACACTCCATGAGTGGAGGTTCAATCTGAGCTTCTCTTGAGTGCAAGAGTGGGTAGTAGCGAAGTAGTTGTAGTTCGCTACTGTAGCGAACTACAATTTTCAAGTAGCCAGTAGTTTTTGACTACATTTTTAAAACAGTAGCTGTAGTTATAGCGAACTACATTTTGCCTAAAAGTAGCCAAGTAGTTGACTACTTTTCAAACAGCAAATCGCTATTCGCTACTTTTAAAAATTGTTAACAACTTGATAGAATAGCATGATATTGAGATACGGTTTGCTTAAAATCGATACTCAATAGTCAATTTGCACTCCTGAGCACTGTAGTGATTACAAAAATGTTGCTTTGTGTTTACTGTTGCTACTCGTAAGTCTATTTGTTATAGGTTACATTACAGTCTGAGTTAGTATATAGATGCTCCAAATACAGTAAAACTAAAAAATATAGCGTAGGCGTAGCGAAATAGCGAAATAGTTCGCTACATTTTTTAAGCAGTAGCTATAGTCAGTAGCGAACTACCTTTGTTCAAAAGTAGCAGTAGTTGTAGCTGACTACATATTTTTGAAGTAGCTGTAGTTATAGCGAACTACAAAAATTTTGTAGTCAACCCACCCTTGCTTGAGTGTCACTGCTGTTTTTGAACAGCTGGAGGGTGAGTAGTCACATAGTAAGGTACGACACTAACCCTCCAGCTATTCAAAAACAGCAATGACAATCGAGAGAAGCTCAGATTGAACTTCGACTCATTGAGTGCGAGTGAGCTTTTAGCCAATACGGGCGTTAGTGCGGATACAAGACGAACTAGCTAGAATCCAGTCCAACTCAAAGGTCGTGGGTTCGATTCCCACCGTGGTCAGGCAAACTTTTCAGCTTGCCCGGTGTGGCTGCACACTCAGGGTAACACCACAAACATCATATTCACCTGAATATATAACAACAACAAACATAAAAAGTAGCTAGAATTGACCATTTGCGTAATAGACTAAATTTTGATCTAAACAAGTCTAGACAAAAATTTCATCACAGCTTGAAAGAGCATCACAAAATTAGTAATATTCCAAAGTTTCGTTGCGAAATGTTGCAAAATGTGGAAAATATAGCCTTGCGAAATTTGCAAGTTTCAGTCATTTTAGATTACAAACGGGAAATTGACAGCCTCAAAGGGTTTGGGGCTGTCAATTTCCCGTTTGTAATCTAAAATGACTGAAAATTGCAAACTTCGCAAGGCTATATTTTCCGCATTTTACAACATTTCGCAACAAAACTTTGGAATATTACTAAGTTTGTGATGCTCTTTCAAGCTGTGATGAAATATTTGTTGAGATCAAAATTTAGTCTATTACGCAAGTGGTCTATTGCTGATAGTTCGTTTAATGCCGTATTTCAACACACAGAAGACATATTTCGTAGAAACTGGCCATAGTTTACCTGTTTGTTTCTTAGCTCTCTTAATTCGCGGAATTTTTGCCGTTCTAATTTCACGGCAGACCATGACCGCGAGTGATCGCATCTCGGAATGTGCGGGCATGGATCCTAAACGAAAGATCGTTTCTTCAAAACTACACTTTGCAGCCAAATTAAAAACAACGAAAAGCTAGAATACAAAGCTTGAATCTTCCACATACCATTGAATGATCAGGATCTTTACACAAGAGGTTTATTCCGCACGAAAATTTTTCATACAATTTTCTTCCCTGGAAACAAATGATGACAACATCGTTAAAACATAAAATGCTTCCGTGATTTTCATAGTTCGTCTTTATAAATGTAATATCATCTGATCGCAGCGACTTACTTGTCGAAGAGGAACCCAAAGGCCCAAGGGCTCGATCCAAAACATGGATTTGTTGTTGATCAAAGGACTTGGACATTTTGGTAATTTCACTGGTTTGGATTTGACCTCTTCGTTAAAGTTTGCAACAAAATTTCTCTCCATTTCTTCCAAAGGAGGTAACTGTCCAAACAAAACTTTGTTTAAGCGCAAAAAGCTTTTGGTGCAGCCCAAAGTATTTTTGGGCCGATCGATCGCAAAAAACTTTACCTGACTGAAAGACGCACGAGAACAGCATAAGAGCGAAAGATGGCGTTTCTTCCATAGCGGGAAAGCGAGAATGTGGTGTTTTGGGGAGAGAGAGAGGAGGAAGATTAAATCAAATTAGGGACAGGTCATAAAGTAACTGCCAAGATCGGCCGGAGGAAATAAGGATGGACCATGAAATTAAATTATTTTCATCAGTTTGGGTGGGCCGTCAATTTGTTTTTTGTGCAAATGGATAGGCCATATATGAAACACATATAGCCTGTTTGCACTCAATACACACTATAAGGCTACTACACAAGTTATGAGAAAGTGACACAGTGGATGGTTTGATCAAAGTGACTGCTATACTGTACATATTCTAGACTTGCCACAAGTCGACCTTGGACGAAACGCAAGCAGCGAGCGCGAGAAGTCGGTCGCGCGAGGTCGACTTGTCATACTTGCAGGGTTTTCAACTGCATTTCGCGCTAAAAAATGTGAATAAGTTATTCGCTATTAATTAACAGGGGACTGAGTTGTCTATAAATCGCATCATCATCTAATCGCATGTGCGTCATATTTCATATTTGTCACTTCGCTTTGCGAAGCAGTCGTCCCCAATATAGAAACTAAATTGACCAAACTGCTAACTTGGTCTGACCAAATTGCTAACTTGGTCTTTCATAAGCGAGACCAACGGAACAACGACGAGAACCAACGACTTGTTATTTTCTGACAAGTACTCGAAAGCATGCGGAGCTAACTCAAAGGTTAAGCTTTTCCCATGTCCTGTCTGTGCCGAAACGAACACATCTCTGCCAGATAGATAGGCTTCAATGGTCTGCCGTTGATACTCTTTCAACTCTAAATAGCAGGATGGGTCGTGAATTTTTCCAATGACCTACGCTTTGAAATTTTTTCTATGTTCTCAGGATGGGCCACCGTTTTTTTTTCTGGAAAACCTATTTTCCCTTCCGGCCCACCCTAGCAGTTACTTTATGACCGGTCCCTTAGCACGTACGCATCCGATCAAAGCCAAAGGTGATGTCGTTGCAATCGAGACAGATTATGAAATGAAGAAATGAGATGTTATGAAGAATGTTAAGAGGATCAAGTATTTAATAGATATTCAATCCCTCGTGAGGTTAGCATGAAGATATAAATAAAATGAACACACTGGCACTGCGAATATTCACATCTTGTAAAGCTGAAGATTCGAGCTTCAAGAATATGAGAATCAAGATCCAAGCTTGTTTAATTAGCTCGATACTTGAGTTTGCGGGATATTAATACTGGAAGTGTCACTGGTCATCTTAATATTTTGCGAAATATTCTGCTGGAAAAGAATTTTAGCATGAAGACATTCAATAGAAGAATGACGAACAATTTGGAGCCAGAGGAGGATGCGAAGAAGATATATTGTGAATAGAGATGTGAAGGTATAATAAACATTTTTTGCTGTTTAGATAATCCCAGTGTCTCAGTAATACGACACGGACAATTTTCAACGGTGAACTGGAACTTCCAGCGGACTTCATTGAGATGAGAAATATAAGCCGGCATTTATTGCTTTTAGAAACCTAATACTGCGTTCCACATAAAATTTCGTGACTTCTTCATAAACTACAAGTCTGTACTCTGAACCGTATACTATAGCACGACTCTCACCTATTCACGCGGCATACATGAAACTGCGAACCTACAAATTTCCGTGTGAACAAATACTGTGAATCCAACTGCACATTTCAAGACCACATACGCTAGTGCAACAAATCGACAACCGTTTAATACACACTTACAGTTTTCCGCTTGCCAGTGCTGTTTCTGTCATTCCGATAACGCGCAACAACGTTACAGTCGCTTTGTTCCGTTGTCTTGTTAACATCAGCGAAGCTAATTCTATAACCGGATTTCTTGCCCTCCTGGCATCTCTTCCTTCGTTCTTTTACATTCTGTGACGGCCTGGTCGTGGTTAAACCTGGTAGAAATGCCATTCCATTTGAAAAGCAAAAGTTTGCTGTCAAAACTAAGCCGGTTTGTCCACAACATAAGGCGATATTTGCCGCTTCTCTGACTCGTAAGTATGCATAGATGTCAGTATATTGTATTTAGAGGGATATTATTGTGTTTTAATTGACTTAATCTATTTGTCCGGATGAAATATTATACACTTCAAACAACAGACGTTGCTAGGGAGCAAATGAGGTTAACTTACCATTCATGAAATTCAGTAAACGGCAGTCCTCAACTTCACAAATGTTGACCCTTACACAAGCAAGCAAATTAGACTCTCTATTATATTATATTATATTATATTCTAATAACACGGTGGTTTTGCCTGGTGGTTTCCCAGCCAACCAAGAAATAAGGCTATTCGGGTTCACTTAATTAATATTCCTGGTTACATATTCATTTTCTGAATTTCTGGTTAATGTAACCAAGAATCTGCATATATTTGACTTGGACGTCTTTTTGAAAAAATGTATAATAACCAGATTATGCCAGGTAGATAAATAACCACTATCCCCTTTCTCGACTACAATGTTACTATAGCAGTAGCGTGTCTTTCCATAGTCTTTCCGAGTGTGGCTTGCATTAGTTAGTCCTAGTACTGTAGTATGTAGCGCAGAGCAATGAATTTGTCTTACCCTAAAATCTCATATTCATGAAAATCGTATGTCTTTAGATGCAGTTTCGAAATTTAACAGTGGCACAAATTCATGGCTCTGCTACAGCGCGCAAGTCCGTTTTCTTTTTTGCGGTAAAGAAGTAATAGAAAAGTCAACTCGTGGCAAGTCTTCTGAGTACTGGCTGCAATCGCAGCGAGCAACGCGCGCCTACTGAGATTCAAATATGCATCTTGTGAAAGCATGCGCTTTTCACGCCAAGAAACAGCTTATCTATACTTGAATAAGGTATGGATAGAAAGCCTATAGACCACACATTTCGAATATGAAACTTTTAGAGTGACACAAATTCATGGTTCTGCTCTACAGGGCTAGGAACGCAATAGAATGCGCGCCTAAGACTCAATCTGCATCTTATTAGTTATTAAGTCTCAAATTCTTTTCGATAACATACTCGGAAAGATCTGCGATTTTCATGCGCAAAAACGGTCTGTGCGGTATACTTGAGTAAGACATCAACAGAAAGCCTATAGACCAAGGATTTCGAATATGAAACTTATAGGGTGGCCCAAATTCTTGGTTTCGCTCTACAGGGCTTGAAACGCAATAGAACGGGCGCCCGACTCGCCGGAACCTGCATCTTAATAATTAATGTTAAGTCTCATCTTTTCGATAACTCGCTTGGAAAGACCTGCGATTTTAATGTCCAGAAACGGCGAGTTTATACTTGAGTAGGGCAGCGTCAGAAAGCCTATAGACCATGGATTTCAAATATGAAATTTGTAGAGTGGCCCAAATTCTTAGTTTTGTTCTACAGGGCTTGAAACGCAATAGAACAGGCGCCTATAACTCGAACCTGCATCTAATAAATTAATGTTAAGTCTCAAAATCTTTTCGATAACTCGCTTGGAAAGACCTGCGATTTTCATGTCCAGAAACGGCGAGTTTATACTTAAGTAAGGCAGCGACAGAAAGCCTATAGACCGTAGATTTCAAATATGAAATTTATAGAATGGCCCAAATTCTTGGTTTTGCTCTACAGGGCTTGAAACGCAATAGAACGGGCGCCTATAACTCGAACCTGCATCTTAATTAACTATATTAAAGTCTCACTTTCTTTTCGATAACTCGCTTGGACGGACCTGCGATTTTCATGTCCGGAAACGGCGAGTTTATACTTGAATAAGGCAGCGACAGAAAGCCTCACTATAGACCATAGATTTCAAGTATGAAATTTATAGAATGGCCCAAATTCTTGGTTTTGCTCTACAGGGCTTGAAACGCAATAGAACGGGCGCCTATAACTCGAACCTGCATCTTAATTAACTATATTAAAGTCTCACTTTCTTTTCGATAACTCGCTTGGACGGACCTGCGATTTTCATGTCCGGAAACGGCGAGTTTATACTTGAATAAGGCAGCGACAGAAAGCCTCACTATAGACCATAGATTTCAAGTATGAAATTTATAGAATGGCCCAAATTCTTGGTTTTGCTCTACAGGGCTTGAAACGCAATAGAACGGGCGCCTATAACTCGAACCTGCATCTTAATTAACTATATTAAAGTCTCACTTTCTTTTCGATAACTCGCTTGGACGGACCTGCGATTTTCATGTCCAGAAACGGCGAGTTTATACTTTTTAAGTAAGGTAGCGACAGAAAGCCTGTAGACCGTACATTTCAAACATGAAATTTATATAGCGGCCCAAATTCTTGGTTTTGCTCTACAGGGCTTGAAACGCAATAGAACGGGCGCCTAACTCGAACTAATTCAGTAATTGCATCTTGTTAAGTCTCAAATTCTCTTCGATAACACGTTCGGAAAGACCTGCGATTCTCATGTCCAGAAACGGCCTGTTTATATTTCAAGACTGACATCAACAGAAAGCCAATAGACTATACTATACTCTATAGATTTCTAGTGTGAATTTTTAGAGTGACGCAAATTCATGGCTCTGTTCTACAGGGCCGTTGAAATGCAATAGAACGATCGCGCCTATTGGCAAACTGCTCCTTCATTAACTCAGGTCATGAGACTTTCTACATAGCTTGAGAGACCAGTTCTGTTGCGTTTCAAGTGCTGTAGAGCAGGACCATGAATTTGCGCCGCTTTAAAAATTTCAAATGTGCGCAATCTAAAGATTATACGCTGTCGAGATTTCTTGACATGAACGGCGCAGGTCTTTCCAGTGTGTAATGCGGGCACAAGAATTTGAGGTCGAATAAGATGCAGTTTTGAATCTTGTCGACGCGAAAAAAGATATACTACTATGTTACAGCTACTTGCTTTGGAAATATGAAGTTGATGTTATAATAAAGAATAGAAAATAGAAGCTGGAAAATTATCACATCTGCACAACGCCAAGTCATATATTTAAACTATACATAGCAGTGAAAAACTACATCTTTGTTATTTTACATATTTACATAAATGCCTAGCTATGAATCTCAGTAAACAGTCCATGACAATTGCTTTGATCCTCGTCTTTGTAAGGTCTCCAGCGCATCCCTTGATCTCTCTGTAATACCTGGACAGTTGTGAAGAATCAAGATATTGAGACGTTGACAATGTTCCACCAGTTCAAAGACGGAGACGTCTGTCACTCCCAAGCAGTGCGCAATGTGGACTTCCTAGAGAACATATTGTAAAGAACCAGCACATCGATGCGTTTTATACAATTCAGGCTGGAGAAACTTACTTTTAAACTTTGCTGGCAAACTCCATTTGCTAAATCACACAAACCAGCATCACTGACCTAAAAAGTTTGGATAATAGTCGTGTATTTATAAATCACTTGATATCTCAAACGTGGCGGTCCAGTGTAGGTTGAATCATTGTGAGATCAGTGCACCCTGAGCTCATTATATAACTGAACACAGGTCATTGTGAGATTAGTGTACACTGAGCTGAATATAACTGAACTACAGGGCGGTCCTGTATCATTGTGAGATCAGTGTGCACTGAGCTTAATATTAAACTGGACTATTGGGTGCTCCTGTATCATTGTGAGATCAGTGGACACTGAGCTGAATATGCAACTCGACAATTGGGCAGTCCTGTATCATTGTGAGATCAGTGCATACTGAGCTGAATATGCACTGAACTGCTGGATGGTTTTGACTAATTTAATTTATTGATGAATTGGCATTATTGATTGATCGACTTCATTGATTCAGATTGATTATTTTGGCATTATTGATTGATCGACTTCATTGATTGATTGATTATTTGCCTAATTAATTTCCCTTCTTGGTCATGCTACCTGTGTATGGGATATATTCACGCTTGACAGATTTCGACTTTCTTTTGCAAGGGCAAACAATGACGTATCTGTGAGCTGATGACAGCCACCAAGGTTAAGGTTCGTTAGGTATGGACAGTTAGTTGCTATAGCAACCACAGCATCATCATTCATCGTCAAGCATCGTCGGAGATATATAGTCTGCAACATTTTGCAAGATTGTGATAGTGCCGTTATGCCTAAAATACAATATACTATCAATAGTCTTCAAGATCTAATGAGGTGGGGGGCAGGGGGGGGGGCATTATGGTTTGTGCATTTAACTTTCTCTTCTGTAACCTGGGTTTAACTTTTGGGCAAGCCTCGTTAGTGATGTAGGCTGCACATCAGTCTCATAATCACTTGATTCATAATATGCATTTGTCTGATTATAATTTTACCTCAGTCACATGTGAGAAATGTGCTTCCACTACTCTGGTTTCCTCTTGTAGTAACACTGGAACAATAATGGATGGCTCTTGCTGCATGGACCTCTTTATAGTAGATTAAGAAATGATAGAGCCATCCAGTATAGATAAAGTTAGTTTAGCTCTGTGTTGGTTTGGTTAAAAGCACTTTCACTATAACATTTTAATGACTAAAGATACCATTCGATGTGATATCAATTCTTGGTTCATTTTCTGCATTTAAGTCCAGCTTTGATAATGATTTACATCTGTCCGCAATAACAGCGAGACCGCCATCCGTTATTTCACATGAGCTGAGATTTAGCGAACGCATCTTTGGGTGCAGTAACTGAATATAAAAATATGGCTATTAATAATTAAACATTTGGCAGGTTTTAATCAATCAGTCAATCATGTGTTATATGACAGGCTTGACAGTTGATGGTGTCATGTGTGTACATTCCATTGAATTCCATTTATTTGCCTCGAAATACAAGACTAAACATATCATGAAAGCAATTAACATTATTAACATTATATTTTCTCACTCATATGGCCACAATGTGCCGCACGATTCAAATATAAACAAAATAAAAAATGTAAACAAAGCGAGGGGTCGTCGGGTCGATCGACAAACCTTTTGCAAATGCCAATCTCTGAGTAATCCACGCATGGATAACTTTTTGGTTAACTCGCTTTTAATATCGACGGGTAGAATCTCAAATAAATCTTCGTGTACGGTTAAATTTTTTGAAATATTTTCCAAACAATTGTTTAAAAGGCTGGCAACAACGTGGGATTTAAATGCCGCCATTTTTTAAATTTTCGCCGCGAGAAATAATATATCCGGATATTTTTGCCGCGAAAATTACAACGTGATATTTTTGCGCCGAAAAAACTATCGCGTTATTTTTCTCGACGATATTTTTCTCGCCGACAAATATGACGCGGTATTTGTTTCGCGTATTTTTTGGCGATTCGTCCCCAGACTCTTTCAAAGCGTTCGCGCGATCGCGTGAGATTACTCCAAGTTTGACCTTTCGGTCGGTCAGAAGAAAACTACAAACTCACCTATCGGGGCAAAAACCACACGATTTCCATCAAAATGCTGCGCTTTTGTTGTGTAAATTGATGGCAATGGGGATATCCACCCAGGAAGTGTGCTAACATGCATTTTGGAGACCAAATATGGCTAGTGGAGACAGTTTAAATAATTTTACGACCGATTCGCTGACACCTCTGTGGAAAGCAACGTCGGAATTTGAAGACGAGACGGACTCTCCTGGCAAGAATATCGACAAGAGCACCAAGGCGACAGGGTATGGTGTTAGATATATAGGTGTTGTTTAACTGAACGTTGGAAAGCCCTTGAAATTTTGCAGTTTCGACTCGTGGTGCTTGTATATAAAAGCTCTTTAAAATATTACATATTAGTTTCGTATCGGAAGTTCATGTCCTACAAACTTCCGGGGCAAAAGGCGCTATTTTTTACGTTTTAAAAAGTGTGTAAGGTGCGAAAACCACTCGTGGTCTGACCACATTCGACGCGACGAATTTGCTTTGTCATTTTTTCGCAGCAAATTTGCTAAATTTCGTCCCCCGCAATTTTATTTGTAATGTTTGTAATATCTCCCAACATTGTGTGGGTTGTATTTGCATATCTCTTATTAATACTTATTAGTTTTTCGATTTCATCGGAAATTTACATCCATCTGTTGCAAGCTATTGCGAAATTCTACCAGGGCTATCGTTTTCCCTGCAGTGTGGGGCAAGTTTAAGCAAGAATTCCAAGCAAATAATCTGTTTTTTGGAAGCGCTTTTAACGGTTTATTTTTGTTCGCTTACATATATTTATTAAAAGGGCCTGTAATTTGCAACATTTCAGTATTAAATATTAAACCCATTAACTTTTTTTAATTGATTGAGTTTTTTGGAACACATTTTTGTCGTCCTTTTTGTCATACTTTAAGACTTTTTGCGAAGAAAGTAAATGCGTGTAACGGTACACAATATCAATGTTTCTTAGGATATTTATAGCAGACAAAACAATGATATTTTTGGACAAACTGATTTTAATAAAAGTTGCATGTTATGATATGGAAGAGCATTGAATTGAAGTACAAATTTGCAGATAGAGTTGGGGAATTCAGTAGAATAGAAATGCCTCATTATTGACTCAAGGCCAAATTGAGCTGAACAAAAGATGTGAGTGGTTCAAGTAAGAACGGAACGTTAATCACAGCAATATGGAAATGACTTTTTTTACCACTTTTTTTACTCGATCAGAGAACCTTTCAGAAACTTTACGATCAGAGCATGTTTCAGAAACTTTACTATGAAACCTGGTTGCACATTTAGCATTTTTAATGGTTGACATTATGTTGGTTATGAAATAGTATTTAAAGAAGTCATTTTCTGTATGCCATTCATAAATTTTTGTTTTTACTTGAACCACTCACATATATTGTTTGTCTGTGTTTAAGTGTGGCAAATAGACAACTATCATTTATTCGTATATGGATAAACTTGTGTGCATTCATCTTGACTGAATTGATGATCTGTCTATGTGTATAAATACAACATATTTAATAAATGTGCTGATTTTTGGGCTAAAATTTAAATACTACACCACTTTAGACGTCAACGACTGCCTGTGTCAGCTAGCGTTAGGACCTGAAAAATACAAATAAACTTCCCTTTTACAGTTTTCTGGTAAAAAAACAAAATACCATTTAGTGCATCAGAAGGCATTGTGGATTAATGGATTTTGTTACGAGAGAATCAACATCTATCTAATATGCCAAGTGTTAACTTGTCAATCAATGTATATCATACATAGATATGGAAATTGTTTTTGTTTCTGATAATCATCAATTTTAATGTAAAAATATTAATATATTTTTATTTTCACAATGCTCTTGATGGCTCGATCGAGCACTCTATGAAACCAATCACACGTTAAAACATCTCCAGCATGCGTTCAATCAAAGCTGATTAAAAGAACAAGGGATGTATGCAGCATGGCAAGAAATTAATAAGGTTTCGCTGGTTGGCTTTCCATGCTGCCGGGAGGATTAAAATCTATGTTGATGCTGTATTTAAAGATGAAGCTTAGATTTGCCATTGACTAAAAGCTTTTTCTCATTAAACAGGAAATCTAAATCGTTGACAAAGGATGCAAAATCACAAAACATTAATGTTGTTGATTGGACGGTAAGTTAACACAATAATCGGTAAACACTTGAATCTCCTTCAATAGAAATATATAATATGTCACAGAACATTAAAAAATGCACCAGAATGCATTCAGAGCATCTTGCAACCTAGTAACAGTGTGGAGCTTTTATAGAAAAAAACTTTAGATGCTTGTCTGATGTTGTCATGCAAATGAAAAAAGTTTACCATAAGTTTAAATTTGTTGTATGGTTCCTGATACCAGCATACCTATAGAAATGAAAAACAGTCAGAGAAAATTCAATTTAAAATCTAGACAAAACAAATTGTTTGGTCCCCCAGACATGCAAATGATATCAGTAATATATGATCTTCTATTATTGGAATGAATAGAAAACATCTGTTTTTAATTAAGAAAAATAAATAAAACATTGATTTAAACAAATTGTCTATATATAGTGTACATATTCCACAGGAATTGACTATCAGTTCTAAACTGTTCTCCCTAGAGGTCCTGTAAGGATCATCACTTAATTTGATCCAGTGTTACTACAGGAGGAAACCTAAACTAAACTAATTTTATTTATACTGGATAGTTCTATCAGTTCTCAACTGTTCTTCCTAGAGGTCCGGTAAGGATCATCTCTTATTGATCCAGTGTTACTACAGGAGGAAACCTAAACTAAACTAACTTTATTTATACTGGATAGCTCTATCAGTTCTAAACTGTTCTTCCTAGAGGTCCGGTAAGGATCATCTCTTATTGATCCAGTGTTACTACAGGAGGAAACGTAAACTAAACTAACTTTATTTATACTGGATAGCTCTATCAGTTCTAATCTGTTCTTCCTAGAGGTGGTCCAGTAAGAATCATCTCTTATTGATCCTGTGTTACTACAGGAGGAAACCTAAATTAAAATAACTTTATTTTTACTGGATAGCTCTATCAGTTCTAAACTGTTCTTCCTAGAAATCCAGTAAGGATCAATCTCTTATTGATCCAGTGTTACTACAGTACAGGAGGAAACTTGAGTACTCTAAGAAAATCTGTTTGGCAGAGTCAAACTCAGGAAGCACTCTACTCACATGCAACTGAGGCGAAGTTATAATCCGACAACTGTATACTGTATTGTTAAAGAATCAAACCCATATGCATCCCTACAGATGTTGGCTGGTTGGCTTGGTAGATTATATGTTGCTTGCATTTTGTATTTTCAGGAAAATGCTGTAATTGGAGAGCATATTTGGACGGATGCAGATTCATCTGGTCACTCGTGTTGTATTCCTGACAATGAATGTATGGTATGTCAAAATGCAATGTCTGTTAAAGAGCATTTCACAGAAGGTGTCTTTTGGCATGTGTAATGACACACATGATTAGTCCCGAATCGTGGCTGTGTGATAAACCTAAAGCCTAAACATATTTTGTTAATATTTTAGAAATCTGGACCAAAGCTCAAATGTACTGGTGAGTAGTATTAGCTCATTTGATTATTGATTCAGATATATTGCCGGTACACATCCTCCCGTTGATTAGAAAGCCAAGTTCTTGTTACTGATGTGTTCTCATTATTGTAAAAGGAGTTATCTATAACTTTTTCTCTCCATTCAATTCTGTTTTAACGATTTAAAATCTCTTTACATGTAGCGTGTAAAGTTGTTGTTCACATCAAATGTATGGAAAGTTTAGAACGGGTAGGTTAAGCATTAGCAAAGTACTGTATGGTTGTTTTTTAGTCATTGACCAATATCGGGCCGATTTTTGCCTTATCGGTAGACAATCAGAATCAGTAGAATTATCTGTATTTCCGATTGTGTTACAAACCGATTGTTTAGAAAATATGCAGTTTAAAAATGATACACATTGTACATTGATACATGTTGTGTTTTAACACGTTATATTTACATCACTAGGTGAATATAAAATGCAAGGTTACATTTCGAGAAGGAAGCAGAAGGTCCAACGATGACGAGGTAATCAAATTAGGAAATAAAAAGTTTCTTATACTGTAGGTTGACTGCATGATTGTATAAAGCCTTGGTCAAACAAGCATTAGAGTTGAGAAGCGAGAGTTTGCATAAGAGTTTTCTCAACTCTCCTGCCCTGGTCAAACAAGAACAAGAGTTGCATGAGAGTCCATGAGAATTGACTGGATATTATTGCATGTGTAGTCAATTCTCTTTAGCCAATTCTCATTCTCATCATTCAAATTGTTCAAGATCATTTGTTACATTTTTGGAAAGCTGCTCAGAATAAATTATAAGCAGAAAAATTCGACCACAAATTTTTTTCAGTTTCAGACACAGCATCACTGGGTTTATCAAAGAAAATATCATGGAAAATGTTCACATTGTGGAAAGGTACGTAGAGTATGGTACATTGGAGAAATAACCTTAGGCTAGCACAACTCTCATCCTTGTTTTACTCTTTCAATTTTGTAGTCATTCCACACTAAACACAGTACAGTAAAGGTATGTATTATAGTGAACCTGATTAGTTGGTTATTGATTCATGGGGAAGGTTGTTGATCAGTATATTGATTTGTAGATTATATTAATTATCTAATTGATTGTTGAAACTATGTCTTTCTAGGATATTGTGGCTGTGAGTTGTTCATGGTGCAAATGTGCTGTAAGTGCATAAACTAAACCAAACTAAACTAATCTTATTTAATATGCTGAATACTATACATAGGTCTATCAGTTCTCAGTAAACTGTTCTTCTTAGAGGTCTAGTAAGGATTGTCTCTTATTGATCCAATGTTACTACAGGAGTAAACCTAAACTAAACTAACTTAAAGTTTATTTATACTGGATAGCTCTATCAGTTCTAAACTGTTCTCCCTAGAGGTCCAGTAAGGATCATCTCTTTTTGATCCAGTGTTAAGTACTACAGGAGGAAACTTAAACTAACTTTATTTATACTGGATAGTTCTATCAGCTTTAAACTGTTCTCCCTAGAGGTCCAGTGAGGATAATCTCTTATTGATCCAGTGTTACTACAGGAGGAAACCTAAACTAAACTAATTTTATTTATACTGGATAGCTCTATCAGTTCTAAACTGTTCTTCCTAGCGGTCCAGTAAGGATCATCTCTTATTGATCTAGTGTTACTACAGATTACAAAAGGAAACCTGACTCATTAACTTGCAGAACTTAACTTTATGTTTTCAGTACCACTTTAACAATGAATGTGCAGTGTCTCTCAAAGAGAATTCCTGCACGTTGGGTCAGAACAGCAACTTAATCGTCCCACCTGCTTGGGTGGTGAAACTACCAATAAAACGGGTAAGAATCACTGAACTTTGTAAATTAAGGAAAGAGAAAAGAAATCATTTCTTCTCTGTGAAAACGAGAGCCTTATACAGTACTTTGGGTCAACAAACTCTTGTGAATGTTTGAATATCAGAGTCCTCCATATAGAGAGGGCTCTAATAAACTACTGTATACATCTTCTTTCTAGAGGAAATAATATATATATGAGCCTCCTCTCTCTATTAAACCCACCTCTAGTTCCCAACAAAGAAACAATGTTGACTTACTTTGAACGTTTCTGCCATATATAGTAAGCCTCCCCCCCCCCCAGAATTTGTCCCTCTACAAAAAGGTCCCACAGGATTTACTAAGATTAATTTAAAAATTATTGGTGGTTTTTCCTATTATTATTTTCAGTTTCGAAATTCCTCCATAAAGAAGCGGCATACGAAGAGAAAGTCTGGCAGGGTAAGATTAATGTTGAAGTTTTTGTCACTCAACCTTAATTTGCGCGTACAAGTGCGCCAACAGATGGTGCTCAACTTCAAAAGTGTGTGAAATTTATGATTGTTCGATTCCGTATGATATAATTGACTAGTGGCTTAATTGTTGTTACTAAAGCCCTGGGCAAACTAGGAAACGTTGATGCGGAAACATTGTTTCCTGCCAATGTTTCGCCATCAGTTTCCCAGAGTGGACAAATACTAGGAAACATTTATAGTGAGAAACATAGGGAAACATCAAATGTTTCTGAATTTGCTAGGAAACAGTTTTGCATCTCGATTCTCGGGAAGCAAATTTTGTTTCCGCAACAATGTTTCCACGGGTGGGCAAACATCGAGCCATGATCGAGGATCGAATCACAAATGTTTCCACAACAATGTTTCCTAGTTTGCCCAGGGCTTAAGGTTTTCATTGGCTTCTTTTATTTCAAGGACCACGAAACATCTACAGTATATTTGCCCTAATATTTTTTGTCAGGCACAAAATGTCCCGTGTTAGGCACCAATCAGTTGGTACTTTGTCAGACACTGTTGGAAATTTATTTTCAGGATTGCTTTTATACAGTAGTACAGTACATTCACGTCATTACAATAATTATATCTTTATATACTTTTTTCTTTAGGAAAGGAAAGCATTCGCGGTAAGTTTGGTTAATTTTCAACATATGATGACTGTCAACTTTTATTCAACTGAAAGTACAGTAGAATGACTTAAGACAAGACTTTGTGATCCCAGGTCCTGAATTTGTATCCTGTTTTATTTTAGGTCAGACCTGTCGCTGGAGACAATCGAAGTCCATTACTCGTATTTATTAATCCTAAGAGTGGAGGAAAGCAGGTTTGCAACTAAACTGACTTGATTTATACTGAATATAGCTTTATCGCTTCTGAACGGGCGTTTAGTTTTAATTAGTGATTATATTGAATTGTCTAAATCAAATATATATCTCTCATTACAGGGTTCAAAAATCATTCGTAAATTGCAATGGCTTTTAAATCCAAGACAGGTAAGAGCGATTTTTATCATTGATCGAAGGATGAAGATGGTCTCGCGGATCAATTGAAGAATGCGACCCCCATAAGTTACTTCTCCAAAGAACTGCCTCGTTCTTTAAGAACGCCTACTCATTACTTATTTTTGCTCATGAATGATCTAGTTCATGAATTAAAAGTGTCTTTAGTAAATAAAATAGGGTTTATCAAAGAACGAGGCAGTTCTTTAGAGAACTAATTTGTGGGGGTCGTATATACTTCAATTAGCCTTTCCCACGCCGCCATTTTTGGGTGGCATTTCAGCCGAAGTCTGCGAGATAAGTCCACATAACAGCGACTTTTTATAATTATTTGGACGAATGATGGTAAATTTGCTTTGTAAATGGTTAGTTTATTTTGAAAAAGTGCTTTCCACATTGTTTTAATTGTCTGCATTGGTTAACGAGAATTGGATGCCACCCAAAAATGGCGGATATTCGTGATCGTGAGAAAGGCTAATTGGGTATTTGGGTCTCACTGCATGATAAGTTAAATGTTGTGACATTAGAGCGTACACAATACTTAGTGTCAGGGACGCCGGAACGATGTGAAGGCAAGGGGGCAGATTTTCGTGAAAGGGCACTTTTGAATTGATATATACTAAGAGATGTTTGCAAAACATCGGGAGTTGAACTTCGCCTAATAATGTTTTCTATTTATTGGATGATAGGGGTGAGAGGGGGTTCTCCGCCAGGCGATTGTGCTATTCTTGAAGCTCGATGACTGCATTTCTTGCGTTTTCTGAAGCAAATTCGTAAAAGAATTGCACTAACATTTCTGACAATTCGCTATTTCACCAACGCAATCCTTTAAATTCTAAGGGCACCTTTGCCACCCTTGCCCCTCCTGGTAAAGGGCAACGGGGGCGGCTGCCCCTCCTGCCCCCCCCCCCCAGTTCCGGCGTCCCTGCTTAGTATGACACTATTTTACCTTGGAAGGGTCAATACAAACTCAGTTTTTTAAATTCTCCATTGTTTATTGAGTTTCTCACTTATTGGTGAGCGGATTTCACAACTAGTATCGCCCAATTGGGGATCCGAGGTACTTATGATTTAACGTCCTTATTCGAGAAGACGCGAACATCTAACCATTTACTGATGTCAATGTAAAGGTAGCTCTTTCTCCTCAATTATTTTAAGAGCTTGAGTAGAGGTCCGAGCAAGGATTGAACCCAGGTCTCCCCGCTTGAAAGACGTACACGGCGACCACGAACTAGATACTGTTCTACAAACAATTGTTTCTGTTGTAGGTGTTTGATCTCTCGGAAGTTGATCCAAAATTTGGGTAGGTATATAAGGCTGAGATGTGATTCAGACGGAGCTTTCTTGACGTAATTTCTAATGCTCTCGCGTGGTCTATTTTTGCAGTCTTCAACTATATCGGCGGGTTCCAAACTTAAGGATATTAGCCTGTGGTGGCGATGGAACAGTAAGTGCTTTTTATATCAATTTTCCTTAAGAATTGGCCCTAGTTTTACTAGAAACTTATTAACTTGCACAGAAGAACTATCCGACGAACTATATTTTCTTATACTCTGTCAAGATTTTCTTACGATTACGATTATGATCAAATGCGCTAAACATCAAGTATTATACCCTTACCTAATTATATATTATTACCTGGGATATTTTATCGTTGCAACAAATGTGATATTAATTTATTAACTGTGTTTATTCTAACCCACCCTGTCAACTTTCCCTGTGGGAGGAAACCGGAGAAAACCCACGACTTTCGGCAGAGCGTTGACTGACTCTTTTCACATGAGTCCGTAGTACAGTATGCCAAGATCAAACTTCAAAGCCACTAAATAGAAGATCTTTGTTTGATGTTGAACTGTACCTTACCATGAACAAATCCTTTGTCTCAACTTCATTGAATATTATTCATTGTGGTGGCACGTTTCATCTCAGCTATCCCTATTGGACGATTACTTCATTTTACAAAAATACAATGAACTCAATCACTGTGACCATGTACAAATTAACATAAACTCAGTTAAAAAATGTCAAAAACATAATACAATGACTTCTGTTTTTTTTCCACACCATCATATCTTTATAGACTATGGTTTCCTTTGCCCAAGTTCATCCAGACGGATCATCCGTCTCTGGTGTCAATCATTATCTAATAAATTTATTTTATTTTTGTTGCGAAGGTCGGCTGGGTTCTGTCAGAGTTGGACACTCTACAACTCTCGCCTCCTCCCCCCGTCTCGATATTACCGTTGGGGACTGGGAATGATTTATCAAGAGTACTTAACTGGGGAGGGGTGAGTCAGTGTTTTGTGTAATTATAGTTTTCTATTACTTGTAGTTTAGTTTAGGTTTCCTCCTGTATTGACACTGGATCAATAAGAGATGATCCTTACTGGACCTCTAGGAAGAACAATTTAGAACTGATAGAGCTATCCAGTATAAATAAAGTTAGTTTAGTTTAGGTTTCCTCCTGTATTGACACTGGATCAATAAGATACGATGCTTACTGGACCTCTAGGAAGAACAGTTTAGAACTGATAGACCTATCCAGTATAAATAAAGTTAGTTTAGTTTAGGTTTCCTCCTGTATTGACACTGGATCAATAAGAGATGATCCTTACTGGACCTCTACGAAGAACAATTTAGAACTGATATCTATCCAGTATAAATAAAGTTAGTTTAGTTTACAATGTATCGTAATCACCTCTATACATATCATTTTACAGGGTTATACTGACGAGCCGTTGGAAAGAATTTTAAATCATCTCGAAGAGGCACAAATTGTACAACTGGACAGGTTGATAGTTGATTATAAATGATTGTTTGTTTGATAGATTGGTTCAATTGTTGATTGATTGAATATTTGAATGATCTGAATTTTTTCCAAGGTGGAATCTTCAAGTGAGTGAAAACGAGAAAGGGGAGAAAGAGCCAAATTCTGTTACGAATGTAAGCAACTAGTAATTACCTGCATCCCTTTCCTTTTCTCTCTTCATTGACAAAATAAAATCGGTAGAAAACGTGTTTTGACAAATGAATCATTTTATTCATTTTCAGTTACCGTTGAATGTAATGAATAATTATTTCAGCGTCGGAGCGGATGCTGAAGTTAGCTTAGAGTTCCACGAGTCTAGAGGTATGAATAATATTAAACGGGGGGCAAACGTTCAATATATTATACTATAGTATACATTTTCAGCATAAATGAAGTTGGATTTCCTCCTGTAGTAACACTGGATCAATAAGAGATGATCCTTACTGGACCTCTAGGAAGAACAGTTTAGAACTAGTAGAGCTATCCAGTATCAATAAAGTTAATTTATGTTTCCTCCTGTTGTAAAATTGGATCAATAAGAGATAATCCTTACTGGACCTCTAGGAAGAACAGTTCAGAACTGATAGAGTTATCCAGTATAAAGAAAGTTAGTTTAGTTTATGTTTCCTCCTGTAGTAAAATTGGATCAATAAGAGATGATCATTACTGGACCTCTAGGAAGAACAGTTCAGAACTGATAGAGCTATCCAGTATAAATAAATTTAGTTTAGTTTAGGTTTCCTCCTGTAGTAACACTGGATCAATAAGAGATGATCCTTATTGAACCTTCTCTTAGAATACAGTAATTGATCCATAGTGTTGTTTCTCAAATTAAAACCTTTTCTTGCAGAGGCTAACCCAGATAAATTCACAAACCGGTTTTATAGCTTGTATTTCTACGGCAAGGTAAGATCTGTATAGACAGCTTTAAATAAGAAAGCTTTTGTTGATATTGCTTTTCAATCAGTACAGTGTGAACAATCGATCTATTTCTGTTTTTAGCGCGGCGGACGCACCGTTATTCAAAGAAGGTCAAGGGATCTTTTTCGCCATGTGAAATTAGAGGTATGGATCGTTGTTTTCTACTTTTCTCGGAAATTATTAATGAGTATACGTTTAAGAAAGTGTTTAAGAAACGGACGGTGTGAAGATTTTACATTACTTTCAATTTTTCTAGTGTGATGGCGTTGATTTGAGTGAGAAGATAGCAGAACTGAAACCTCAGTGCCTTCTTTTCTTAAATATCTCATCGTAAGTATGTAGTATATAGCAAAACTCCCTTTTCAAATAGCAAAACCCCTTTTCAAATAGCAAAACTCCCTTTTCAAATAGCAGAACATCCTTTTCAAATAGCAGAACACCCTTTTCAAATAGCAAAACTCCGTTTTCAAATAGCAAACCCCCTTTTCAAATAGCAAAACTCCCTTTTCAAATAGCAGAACACCCTTTTCAAATAGCAGAACACCCTTTTCAAATAGCAAAACTCCGTTTTCAAATAGCAAACCCCCTTTTCAAATAGCAAAACTCCCTTTTCAAATAGCAGAACACCCTTTTCAAATAGCAGAACACCCTTTTCAAATAGCAAAACTCCGTTTTCAAATAGCAAACCCCCTTTTCAAATAGCAAAACTCCCTTTTCAAATAGCAGAACACCCTTTTCAAATAGCAGAACACCCTTTTCAAATAGCAAAACTCCGTTTTCAAATAGCAAACCCCCTTTTCAAATAGCAAAACTCCCTTTTCAAATAGCAGAACACCCTTTTCAAATAGCAGAACACCCTTTTCAAATAGCAAAACTCCGTTTTCAAATAGCAAACCCCCTTTTCAAATAGCAAAACTCCCTTTTCAAATAGCAGAACACCCTTTTCAAATAGCAGAACACCCTTTTCAAATAGCAAAACTCCGTTTTCAAATAGCAAACCCCCTTTTCAAATAGCAAAACTCCCTTTTCAAATAGCAGAACACCCTTTTCAAATAGCAGAACACCCTTTTCAAATAGCAAAACTCCGTTTTCAAATAGCAAACCCCCTTTTCAAATAGCAAAACTCCCTTTTCAAATAGCAGAACACCCTTTTCAAATAGCAGAACACCCTTTTCAAATAGCAAAACTCCGTTTTCAAATAGCAAACCCCCTTTTCAAATAACAAAACTCCGTTTTCAAATAGCAAAACTCCGTTTTCAAATAGCAAAACTCCGTTTTCAAATAGCAAAATCCGTTTGCTGTCTCGTAGTCTGAACATACTTTTCAGAAACCTGTACTTTATGAACCTTATTTTTAAAGACTAAGTACACATTGAGTACTGAGTTTGTTCTAGCGCAAGTACGCGGCAACAACCATTGGCGTACCAGTCAGGTACGACTAGAAATCTTGAATGATCGCACCCTGCATCAGAAGAACAAAATTGCACTAGAATCGCAACAAAAATTGCAAATGTAAACTGGCCTTTAGAATGAAATTGAATAACATGATCTCATATAATTATTTTGCTTCATGTTGTACAGATACGGTGGAGGAACTTTACCTTGGGGAAATCCACTCAAGGAATACGAGGTAACTCTACACCTTATACTGGCTTATAGGCCCATTGCCACTCGAGAAAATTTTCCACGAATAGAAAATTTTCCGAAAATATCATTGTTAAAAGTTGAAAATTTTCAAAAGTTCAAAATTTTTTTTCCCACGGAAAATTTGTGTCGACCAATCACATTTTACAAAAATTTTCTTTCTGCGGAAAATTTTCCTGAGTGGAAGTGGGCCTTGACAGGGGTGGAAAAAATAGGCGAGCAGGCGAGCACTGCTTGCAGAAAATGTTAAACAGCTGCAGGAAATTCGTTTGAATGAAGATTTGCTATTGAAAATTTGAAGGAAACCTTAACACCCATGTCTGGATGTGCCACTATGGGCGCGAGAACATATATGGGACGGTGTACTTATATGGGACGGTGTACAACTAAATCAATATTGTTGTACAAAGTCTTGAATGGCTACATCGGCCGCAACCTTAAGGAGTCTCTAATATTGAGAAACACTCGCCAAACTAACCACGATCTTAGAAATAGTGTAACAGATTTAACCCTTCCTAAACCAAAAAGAGAGTACCTTAAAAAGAGTTTCAATTATAGTGGAGCTAAATTGTGGAATAGCCTCCCGTTTGATGCAAAGGTAGCGGAATCTGTTAGCCAATTTAAGAATATTATTAGAGGTAATGATAGCTAAATGATATTTGTGGTCACACCAGTAACATTTACAATGTAAATATTTCTTTTTTGTAAATGGTTAATATTTGACGCCCCCCGTGGAAATCAGCTAATTGCTGTCGGGGGCCAGCATCATTAAATAAAGTTTTACCATACCATACCATGGTTGACAGACATTATTCCTTGAATTTAACACCATGGTCAGCTAGAACACTATATGTTTATGCACATGCAGATTTAGCACAAAAATACTCCGTTGGTCTGCAGGAAATTTTTGTCTCCAGGTTGTGCTTCCAGGAAGAAAATTATTTTTTCCTGCCCTGCACCGTATGGCGGGCGATTTATAACTTCAGTTTGCTTCACGGATGTCTTCTGTATGTAGGAATTCAGAGGTCAGCGATTTGACGATGGTTATGTTGAGGTTATTGGTTTGACGTCAACATCTTTAGTAAGTTACACAAATGTCACTTTGTTCTAAAATCTAATCCCCGAGCAAATTACATTCATTGGCCAACGGTCCGACTCTGCAGTCTAGTATCTACAATGGATTAGGTAATTTAATGTAATTCCCAAAGATACTCCACTAGTCTTATAACCCAACCTTTCACACTTTTGTTGGTGATTCCAAAAGAAAACACGTCAGATTATTTTACCCATTTTTGTCTCATTCATAGGCGACGACTCGCGTTGGTGGGCATGGCCTGAGAATCTCACAGTGTCAGAACGCAGTTTTGTCAACGTATAAAGTCCTGCCTTTTCAAGTTGACGGGGGTAAGGCAAATGACGTTTAAAAAAATATGTTCCTCAGGTTTACGTGCCCAAAACTCAGTTTTCAAATGCCAGAGCTACCTTTTCAAAAGCCAGAACTCCGTTTTCAGATGCTAAAACTCAGTTTTCAAAAGCCAGAACTCCCTTTTCTAATGCCAAAACTCCGTTTTCAAATGCCAGAACTCCTTTTTCAAAAGCCTGAACTCCGTTTTCAAATGCCAAAACTCTGTTTTCAAATGCCAAAACTCTGTTTTCAAATGCCAAAACCCAGCTTTCAAATGCCAGAACTCCTTTTTAAAAAGCCAGAACTCCGTTTTCAAATGCTAAAACTCCCTTTTCAAATGTCAGAACTCAGTGTTCAAATGCCAGAACTACCTTTTCAAAAGCCAGAACTCCGTTTGGAAAATCACGTACTTTTTATAAATTTTAATAAATATACAAAATATAAACTTTAACCGATTTGAATTTTCTCTCGAATAATTACTGTTAGCCCCAGCAGAGCGACACAGCTCACCTCTGACACCTCTAACGTTTCATTTTATTGACTAAAGGTTTGTGACAGCCGAATTGTTTTATATTTTGACGATGCCATTGTTGTATTGGATTTAGTTTTATTTTTTAACTATTTTACAGAACCATGCCGGCTCCTGCCCTCTGTCATCACTATCAATTTACGAAATCAAGCAAATATGATTAAAAAGATTAAGGTGAATATGACCTATTTGCTTTTCTCAAGTGACTTCGAATGTTTTAATTAATTCTTACCCATCTGTACTTTTGCAGAAAAATTCTCACAGAGGAAGTTCTAATCCAGGGTAAGTCATTGGTATATTTTCCACAGAGGTCCAGCCATCCCAAGTGTTACAACAGGAGGAAATCTAAACTGAACTAAATAGAATGCTAGATAGCATTATCAATTCTAAACTGTTCTCTCTAGAGTTCCAGTTAGGATCATCTCTTATTGATCCAATGTTACTACAGGAGGAAACCTAAACTAAACTAACTCTATTTATACTGGATAGCTTTATCAGTTCTAAACTGTTCTCCCTAGACGTCCAGTAAGGATCATCTCTTATTGATCCAGTGGATAGCTCTATCAGTTCTAAACTGTCCTTCCTAGAGGTTCAGTAAGGATCATCTCTTATTGATCCAGTGGATAGCTCTATCAGTTCTAAACTGTTCTCCCTAGACGTCCAATAAGGATCATCTCTTATTGATCCAGTATTACTACAGAAGAAAATCTCAACTAAACTAACTTTATTTATACTAGATCGTACTATCAGTTATTTATACTGGTTTGTTGTATCAGTTCTAAACCGCTCTTCTTCCAGGAGTACAAATTGTTCTTCCTGGAGTTCCTTTCTACTTTTTGTTTTCATTCCATGTTTTATTTCATATTTCAAGAAGTCCGTTATCTCCTGTTCCACCAATCAATGCAAAAATATACATGACAGATTTCGAGGATTACAAGAAGAACTTTCATGACATAAAGAAGATCGCTGAAGTTGGTACGTTGGTTGTCAAAGCATGTATTGTATATTCTACCATAAGCTCCCGTGTTATCTTATGTTATTATACTGATATGGTTTGTGTCTGAACTACCTGAAAAATATATCTCAAACGTAGAGGTTCAGTGTAGGTAGTATTCTACAATAAGCTGTCGTGGTTTGTGTCTGAACTACCTGAAAATATATATCTCAAATGTGGCGGTTCAGTGTAGGTAGTATTCTACAATAAGCTGTCGTGGTTTGTGTCTGAACTACCTGAAAAAGATATCTCAAACGTGGTGGTCCAGTGCAGGTAGTATTCTACAATAAGCTGTTGTGGTTTGTGTCTGAACTACCTGAAAAAGATACCTCAAACGTGGTGGTCCAGTGTAGGTAGTATTCTACAATAAGCTGTCGTGGTTTGTGTCTGAACTACCTGAAAAAGATATCTTAAACGTTGTGGTCCAGTGTAGGTAGTATTCTACAGTAAGCTGTCGTGGCTTATGTCTGAACTACCTGAAAAAGATATCTCAAACGTGGTGGTCCAGTGTAGGTAGTATTCTACAATAAGCTGTCGTGGTTTGTGTCTGAACTACCTGAAAAAGATATCTCAAACGTGGTGGTCCAGTGTAGGTGGTGTTCTACAATAAGCTGTCGTAGTTTGTGTCTGAACTACCTGAAAATATATATCTCAAATGTGGCGGTTCAGTGTAGGTAGTATTCTACAATAAGCTGTCGTGGTTTGTGTCTGAACTACCTGAAAAAGATATCTCAAACGTGGTGGTCCAGTGTAGGTAGTATTCTACAATAAGCTGTCGTGGTTTGTGTCTGAACTACCTGAAAAAATATCTCAAACGTGGTGGTCCAGTGCAGATAGTATTCTACAATAAGCTGTCGTAGTTTGTGTTTGAACTACCTGAAAAAGATATCTCAAACGTGGTGGTCCAGTGTAGGTAGTATTCTACAATAAGCTGTCGTGGTTTGTGTCTGAACTACCTGAAAAAGATATCTCAAACGTGGTGGTCCAGTGTAGGTAGTATTCTACAATAAGCTGTCGTGGTTTGCGTCTGAGCTACCTGAAAAGATATCTGAAACGTGATGGTCCAGTGTAGGTAGTATTCTACAATAAGCTGTCGTGGTTTGTGTCTGAACTACCTGAAAAAGATATCTCAAACGTGGTGGTTCAGTGTAGGTAGTATTCTACAATAAGCTGTCGTGGTTTATGTGTGAACTACCTGAAAAAGATATCTCAAACGTGGTGGTCCAGTGTAGGTAGTATTCTACAATAAGCTGTCGTGGTTTGTGTCTGAACTACCTGAAAAAGATATCTCAAACGTGGTGGTCCAGTGTAGGTAGTATTCTACAATAAGCTGTCGTGGTTTGTGTCTGAACTACCTGAAAAAGATATCTCAAACGTGGTGGTCCAGTGTAGGTAGTATTCTGCAATAAACTGTCGTGGTTTGTGTCTGAACTACCTGAAAAAGATATCTTAAACGTGGTGGTCCAGTGTAGGTAGTATTCTACAATAAGCTGTCGTGGTTTGTGTGTGAACTACCTGAAAAAGATATCTCAAACGTGGTGGTCCAGTGTAGGTCGTATTCTTCAATAAGCTGTCGTGGTTTGTGTCTGAACTACCTGAAAAAGATATCTCAAACGTGGTGGTCCAGTGTAGGTAGTATTCTACAATAAGCTGTTGTGGTTTGTGTCTGAACTACCTGAAAAAGATATCTCAAACGTGTGATTTAGAATTCTGACTTCGACGTGTGCAGCGAAGGCTTTTCGTTAATTTCTTATTTGATATTTTTTTATTTTATTTTTAGTCAAGCAGTTCAACAAAGCACAAAAAGAAGAAGAAAAAGCGAGACTCTTGATACGTTTATATTGTGGTAAGTATCATTCATTAATTTGTTGCTACGTACAAATATTCTTCGGGTTTCATTTGTTACATTAACTACTTTTGAGTTCTTTTAAAAAAATCTCAATCTTTTCTTTTACTGCATTTAAATCATTTGAGCACACACCGTTTTGAATTTCGTGTTTTCCCATCGCATTCTTAAGGCTTTCGTTCATAACTGGCTGGATTTTTAACCCCTCGAGTTGTTTAAACAATTCGCAAGGCGAGTCAGAGATTGGTTTCAATCCTAAAGCGAGCAAAACGTCCTTTCCAAACTTGCTATAATGTGCTGTGCTTGACAGCAGCAGCTTGCGGGCGGAGGGTGGTCTTTTGAGGGCAACATTCAGGCCGACTGCAGTGTGCGGGTCAAGTAGGTAATGGTTTTGGTCAAAACATGTCTTTATGGTTGTTTTGCATTCCGCTTCGCTCGCCCAGCCAGGTTCGATATAAGTCGCCATTTTCTGACGCAAATCTTCAGAAATCTAGAAATTAAACATAATGTTAAAATAAACGGTTCGCCGTAGTGACTAGGGTTCAATTCCTGCCAGAGTGAATTTGAGGGTGTATTTCCGAAAGATCTTCGGCGCATAACAGCGACTCGAACAAAGTTTGGCGCACATTTTTGGCGCAGATTGATCGCAAATATTGATTTGGCGCAACAATTTGGCGCAGAATGATCCCAAAATCAATTTGGCAAAGATTTGGCAAAGAAGCAATTGAGCATTTATGTAATAGTATATTTGAAATTATGATTTGAGAAGAATGAAAAGCCAAATTTCGAAAATTCGGTGGAAATTTCGGATATTTTCGAAAACCGCATATTTTTTTGCGACAATTTTCTTGGCGCAGGTTTTGGCGCAGCTTTACATGAATTCGAAAAATCTTCGGCGCAGAAAAATTGAGAGATTCACCCTGGAATTCCTGCAGTAGGCATTTGTCTAATTGATCAATAAGAGATGATCCTTACTGGATCTCTAGGGAGAACAGTTTAGAACTGATAGAGCTATCCAGTATAAATAAAGTTAGTTTAGTTTAGGTTTCCTCCTGTAGTAACACTGGATCAATAAGAGATGACTCTTACTGGACCTCTAGGGAGAACAGTTTAGAACTGATAGAGCTATCCAGTATAAATAAAGTTAGTTTAGTCTGTATTCTTAACTATCACCCTAACCTCGAAATATTTTTCCGTCGCCAGTTGTTGAAAGAGCTTGCTAACCAGAGCGCCATCCTTGGTCACGTGGTACAGAAATCGTTCCAAGTTTGAAGACTTGAGGATATCAATGGAGGGAGATATAGACATCTCAAGATGGCGGCCTCTCAGATCGTACTTTCCGGTGGTGAAGAAATCAGTAAGAACATTGTTCGTATTGGATGCACAGATCAGGGTGTGGAATGGAATGCCCATCTCCTAAGGTATAAACAATGAAAGACCATTGCACATGGTGACATATTGTATAAACAGTGTAATAATTTTGGGCATTATTTAAAGGAAAGTTTACTGCAACTTGCAATGCGTTTTCGGATACAGTATAGTCAGGCCTACAAAATATATTTCTCTTCCTGACAGCAAAATGCAAAAATATAAATTTCCTTTGTGAGTCAAATACAAAACCTCCTTCATATGTAGATTTCTATACATTATGATAGACAATATTAGGCAATTCCAGCTATGACTAAATTTTGATCTAGGCAAGAAGAACAAAATCCATCACCCCAGCTAGAAAGAGCATGTTAAAATTAGTAAAATTGCAAGGTTTGGTTGCGAAATGTTGTAGAATGAGGAAAATATAGCTCTGCGAAATTTGCAAATTTTGTATTAATTTGTATTACGCGCGGGGAAATGCAGTACATTTGGGCCGAAAGGGGTGCATTTTCCCATGCGTGATACAAATTAATACAAAATTTGCAAATTTCGTAGGGCTATATTTTCCTCATTTTACAACATTTCGCAACCAAACTTTGCAATTTTACTAATTCTAACATGCTCTTTCTAGCTGTGGTGATGGATTTTGTTCTTCGTGCCGAGATCAAAATTTAGCCTATAGCTGGAATCATCCATTATGGTGGACAATCTCGACTCGCAAAACTATATAAGATGACAAAAATTCCTTGCAAGATGTAAGAAAATATCCTGGGAAGAGATTTTGTTAAAAAATCATGATTACATTGATATCGAAGGAACTGGACTCAGTTCCGAAATATCACATACTAGAACCGACCTGACCGCGTAGCTCAGTTGGCAGAGCATTGGGCTAGTATTCCAAAGGTCGTAGGTTCGATTCCCACCGTAGCCAGGCATATTTTTCAAGCTTGCCCGGTGGGGATATAACTCAGAGTAACACCACAAACATAATTACGTTACAAGTTCCTAAAGCATGTTCCCTTTCACCGGGTAAAGTCGTAAAGGAACATTGCGTCAACAAATATTCTATCGTAATTTACCTTAGCATAAAATGCTGCAAGGATGTTTCCAAAATTTCCAGTCGGAAGACAGACGTCTATCGGCTCACCCAAAGTAATCTCTCCTTGTTTAACCAAATCCAGATAGCCAGAAGCGTGGTGCAACACTTGAGGTAATAATCGTCCCCAGTTGATAGAATTCGCAGCCGAGAATTTGTAGCCATATTTTTCCCAGATATGCGAGCCGAATGTTTCATCTATAACGTAGAGATGAGTAAATATCAAGATGCTGAAATGTTACAAGGTTGACGACATAAGGTTGTAACAATATTGTTATATCATGACAAGTCTGATAATATCAACAAGCTTGTTGACAGCTTGTTCCATACTTGTTTGACAACTTGGGACAAGCAGTGCGAACACAACTTGTTGACGGCTTGTTGGAACTTGCTATACAAGCTGTGAGATTTTTCCGCCTGTACAGTCATGATATAACAATATTGTTACAACATTGTGTCGTCAACCTTGTAACATTCTTGTTATATCATGACTGTATCAGACTTGTTAGAACAACCTTGTAACAAGTCTGATAATATCAACAAGCTTGT